CACACCCAGAGAGATATAGTATCCTAGATTTGAACAGGACCCTTAAAGAAGGACTATGATATCTTGCATGTTCCAGGGTGGGCAAACCAGACAATCTCCACATCAACACTGACAAAGAAACAGCAAGAAATACTGTTTACCCACAAGCAGAAAAACATTACATATATTAGAAACCAACACTTTCTCATTACTTTATTTTCCAGATCAACAGACTGGGCCACAGCAACGCCTGGCAGGGAATAGCTAGTATATTATATTATTAGCACAGTACATTATCAGTATTAAATATTACTATATTGTACTATACCATAATATTGTATATATTTGGTATATATATAGATTATATACCAAAGCAAATTCCCAGCACACCTGCTCCTTGCAAGCCTGCATCTTCACTGCAGAATTGATGCAGTTTGGCATCACTTGTACTGCTATAGCTCAATGCTATGGAATCCTGGGAATGGTAGTTTTACAATTTCTGATGGTTGAAACATACTTAAAAATTGTGTTTTATTTAAAATGTTGTGTAAAATTACCTTCAGGCTACGTGTATATGAAACGTAAACAAATCCTGTGTTTTGACTTGGTCCCGGCATCTGTAAGCCGTGCCTATGTAAATAAAGGCATTCCAAAATCATCCCCCACCCCCCCAAATTGCCATAAATTCTAAATAAATTCTGGTCCTAAGCATTTTAATACATTCTCATGGGTAAAAGAATGCCTGCTGCATCTACACCAGGCATGGGCAAACTTTGTCCCTCTGGGTGTTTTGACTTCAACTCCCACAATTCCGAACAGCATACCAGCTGTTAGGAATTGTGGGAGTTGATGTCCAAAACACCTGGAGGGCCCAAGTTTGCCCATGCCTGGTGTAGATGCACTTTAGGGTCTGACCTGCACTGCCAGATAATAATGTCCAGGCAGTCCCTGAGTTATGAACAAGGTAGGTTCTGCAGGTTTGTTCTTAAGTCGGAACAGGTACTTTTTTTAAGTGTAACTCCAGCCATATATATATATACACACACACACACACACACACACACAGACACACACACTAGCTGTCCCCTGCCACACATTGCTGTGTTTATGTGTTTTGTGTGTGTATATATTATTTATTTATTTCGTATACTTCTACCCCGCCCTTCTCAACCCCCGAGGGGGGACTCAGGGTGGCTTACAAAATGGCATAATTTGGTGCCTACACAAATACAATAACATAGCAATTAAATGGTTAACAATTAAAACAACAATATATCTCACAGTCGATAGCCAATCTCAAGCACAGCGTTCGCCAACTCAGAGTCCATACTTCGTTCCACATTGTCCATTCCTATCCGTCGTCGCAGTCCTTTATTTATCTGCCAGATTGCCCAAACGCCTGGTCCCACATCCATGTTTTTAATTTCTTTCTGAAGGAAAGGAAGGATGTTGCTGATCTAATTTCCCCGGGGAGTGAATTCCATAGGTGAGGGGCCACCACTGAGAAGGCCCTGCTCCCCGTCCCCGCCAATCTCACTTGTGAAAGAGGCAGGGCCAAGAGCAGGGCCTCCCCAGAGGATCTCAGACTCCGAGGTGGGACGTAGAAGGAGATGCGTTTGTGTATAAGTGTGTTTGCGTTTATATATGTGGTTTTGCTAACGGGTTGTAATGTATTTTTATTTTATTTTTTTGATTTTTAAGTCCTTCTGCTGTGTTTTTCAGTGTTTTTTATGAGTGATGGCCACTTGTTGGCCTGATAGGTGTATTGTGACCAAATTTGGTGTCATTGCGTCCAGTGGTTTTTGAGTCATGCTGGCCACATGACCTTGGAGGTGTCTACAGACAATGCCGGCTCTTCAGCTTAGAAATGGAGATGACCCCCAGAGCCAGACACGACTGGACTTAATGTCAGAGGAAACCTTTACCTATGTATATGTAAAGTTTTGGATCACATAGGGAAGGGTAAACAATACATCCCTGTGGGGTTTCCTTTGCTATCTGTGCCTCTGTTTAGAAGAGTTCTCCTCACTTTCTGTCCCTGTGAGAACTGGATGTTGAAAAATGTGGCTTCAAACTACAGACTAGAAGCAATGGCTTCAAACTACAAGAAAGGAGATTCCATCTGAACATGAGGAAGAACTTCTTGACTGTGACTACTGTTCAGCAGTGGAACTCTCTGCACAGGAGTGTGGTGGAGGCTCCTTCTTTGGGGGCAAGGAGACTAGAAGCAATGGCTTCAAACTACAGGAGAGGAGATTCCACCTGAACATGAGGAAGAACTTCCTGACTGTGAGCGCTGTTCAGCAGTGGAACTCTCTGCCTTGGAGTGTGGTGGAGGCTCCTTCTTTGGAGGCTTTGAAACAGGCTGGATGGCCATCTGTTGAGGGTGCTTTGAATGCAATATTCCTGCTTCTTGGCAGAATGGGGTTGGACTGGATGGCCCAGGAGGTCTCTTCCAACTCCATGATTCTATGATTGGAGACACAGCTTCAGTGGAGACCGCTTTTCCTCTCTTTCAGGAGTGGGCTTCCTAGTTGGAAGGCTGCACTGCATAGCCAGAGTTGTGCAGTGCTGTTCCAAAGTGCATGGTGTGGGCGTGGGCGTGGGGGTGGGTGAATGCAGGCTCCCTCCCGCCCAGGCCCCTCCCCTTCCCCTCCCCTCCCACGGGCTCCACCCACGAAGCCGGTGAAGGGCCGGTGATGAATGATGCCGGGGACCCTCCTCTTCCTCCTTCCTCCTTCCCAGCCCCGGCCCCTCTCCACCAACCAGCCCTTCTCCCGCCCCCCACGCAGGAAACTTTCCAGCCTCATCTCTCCGCTCCGAAAGGCGCCATCTTTTCGGGCCAGAAGGAGGAGAAGAAACAAACCCATTTTATGTTCTCATATTTTTTAAAGTGCAGCAAGGGTGAAACTACAATAAAAGTCAAGCCCACGCGTGTCCACGGCCGCGAATGGGTGGGACTGGTGTGTATATATTTTTTGCTGTCCTGTCACTCAAGCAGCTGCTGCTTCTTTGTGCAACACGCCCAACCAATAAAAGTCCACGCGTGTCCATAATCGCGAGTGGGGGGCTTGCCTGGTTTTGTTTGTGACTTTCTTTCGACCTAAGCTGTCACACAGTTGCTGCTTCTTGGTTCAACACGCCCAATAAAGATAAACCCACGCGTGTCCATAATCGCGAGTGGGGGGCTTGCCTGGGTTTTTTTGTGACTCTCTTTTGACCGAAGCTGTCACACAGTTGCTGCTTCTTGGTACAACACACCCAATAAAGAAAAACCCACGTGTGTCCATAATCCCGAGTGGGAGGCTTGTCTATTTTTTGTAACTCTCTCTCTCTCTTGGTATAGCTGCTTCTTCTTGGTACAGCATGCCCAATAAAAGCCCACGTGTGTCCACGATCGCGAGTGGGGCTTTTCTATTATTTTTTGTTTGTGACTCTCTCTCTCTCTCTCTTGGTACAGCTGCTGCTTCTTGGTACAGTATACCCAATAAAACCCCACGCGTGTCCACGATCGCGAGTGGGGCTTGTCTATTTTTTTTTTGTGTTGGGAGTATCTTTCCACCTAAGCTGTCACTCAGGCAGTTCTTGATACAACACGCCCACCACCAAGAACGGAGGGGAGAGTCCTGGTCTCGCGTGGAAAGAGTGTCCATTGGCAAACAAGTGTCTCACCCCCAAGACATGCAACAAGGGCCTAACAGTGTGCCTTTTCCCCCCTCTTCCAACCCACGAGAGTCCTGGTCCCGCGTGGAAACAGTGTCCATTGGCAAACAAGTGTCTCACCCCAAGACATGCAACAAGGGCCTAACAGTGTGCCTTTCCCCCCCTCATCCAACCAACGGAGTCCTGGTCCCGCGTGGAAACAGTGTCCATTGCCAGACAAGTGTCTCACCCCAAGACATGCAACAAGGGCCTAACAGTGTGCCTTTCCCCCCCTCTTCCAACCCACGAGAGAGTCCTGGTCCCGCGTGGAAACAGTGTCCATTGGCAGACAAGTGTCTCACCCCAAGACATGTAACAAGGGCCTAACAGTGTGCCTTTTTGTCCCTCTTCCAACCCACAAGAGTCCTGGTCCCGCGTGGAAACAGTGTCCATTGCCAGACAAGTGTCTCACCCCAAGACATGCAACAAGGGCCTAACAGTGTGCCTTTTCCCCCTTTCTTCCAACTCACTTCCCATATATTATTTATTATGATTGCCTTGCATTGATCTCAATGGAGTCACAGAGGCATGGGCCAACTTGGGCCCACTCTCCAGGAATTTTGGACCAACAATTGGTGGAAAATTGGAAGTCCAAAAACACCTTAGAGAAGGGAAAGAAGGGCTGAAGCTGCCTGTAATGCAAGGGGGCTTGCAACACGCCCCCTTTTTGCAAAAAATGCAAGGCACCAAAAGGGAGCCATTTCTGCAGATTGCAAACTTCACTTTGCAAACTCCCCCCAAAAAGTCCAAAAATAGAGGTCAAGAAGGCTCTAATTTTGGTGTTTTCCCATTTTTGCAAACATAATAATAATAATAATACAATTTATTATTATTATGTTTGCAAACCTTGCAAAAATCCCATTTCATTCCCTCCAAAAGTCCACCAAAGTGGGGTGAAGACTCCATATATGAGGCATGGGCCAACTTGGGGCCTTCCAGGTGTTTTGGACTCCAACTCCCAGCATTCCTAACAGCCTCAGGCCCTTCCTTTTCCCCCCTCAGCCGCTACGCGGCTGAGGGGGGAAAGGGAAGGGCCTGAGGCTGTTAGGAATGCTGGGAGTTGGAGTCCAAAACACCTGGAAGCCCCCCAAGTTTGCTGCAAATGCACCCAACATTGCAAACTTTTTGCAAACACTCCCCAACCAAATGCAAAATATTATAATATTTTTTTCTGCTTCCAAAGGATTGCAATTCGGTCTAGGCCCCGGGCGGACACACCCACCCTCCGCCCAACCCGCTACCAATCCGGATCACGCGTGGAAATATAACCCACTCCCAAAAAATATATATATTTTTTGCAATTTTGCACCGTTTCCTACCTTCTGCAAAGCTCGCCTCCGGAGTGACGCCGGATCCTCCACCAGCACGGTGTAAACGGCGTTGCTGCTGTTGCTGCTTCCTCCTCCTCCGTGGTGTTTCTGCGTGGAAGGCTTGCAAAAGAAGCCCAGAGGAGGAGGAAGAGGAGGAAGAGGAGGAGGAGGTGGAGGTGGGGGGCTTCTGCTGCTGCAGCAAGAGGGGGGTCCTGCTGACGTCAAGCCCGGCGGAGGGGATCCGGATCGCGGGTGGAAACGCTCCATGATCCCACCAACTGAAGTGAGTCCCTTTTGCAAAAATATATATATTAAAAATATATATTGCAAAAAATATTATGTTGCTTTTCTTTCCGCCTGCGGGACTTTTCCCTTCCAGCCCCACTCTTTCCCCCCCCCTACCCCACCCACCAAAAAAAAATAAAATCCCCCACACCGGCCACGCCCCCCCCCTCCCTGATCCACTCGTGTAAAAAAAAAAGGGCCCCCTTGGAAAGAAGGCGTGGCTGCAAGAGCAACAAACCCCTTTCGGCGCGCGCCATTGGCTCGCGCCTTGTATCAACATTCAGAAATGGAACGTTGCCCGGAGCCGGCTCGCTCTCTCATTGGCTGAGCGGCGTTGCCACTTAACATACAAGGACTTGAAAAAAAAAAAAGCAAAGGCGGGGAAAGTGGGCGCGGATAGAATGTCGGCGGGAAAATGGGCGGGGATAGAATGTCGGCGGGGAAAGTGGGCGGGCCCTTAGAGCACTTTGCTTTATTTATACCCCGCTTTAGCTTTCTATGGGGAGACTCCAAGCAACTCACAATCAAACGCATTACAACTGAAAATAGACAAATATGCAATATGCAATAATAAAATAATTATATAATTTATTATTATTATATTATATAAAATATATTTCATATTCTAGTTATATATTTTATTATATTAATTTGTTATATTAATTTATTATATTAATTATTATATTTCAAATATTATATTTCATATTCTAGTTATATATTTTATTATATTAATTTATTATATTAATTATTACATTTCAAATATTATATTTCATATTCTAGTTATATATTTTATTATATATTATATCAAAAACATTGCAACCGAAAATAGAGAAATATACAATAATAAAATAATTATATAATTTATTATTATATTATAATACATATATTTTATAGTTATATGTTTTATTATTATATATTATATTGCACTACAGACTCCCTGACTGAGCTAGCGGGGGTGGTCTCGTTATTATATTATATTATTTAGTTATATATTTTTTATTATATATTATATAAATATTATATTTCATATTCTAGTTATATATTTTATTATATTAATTTATTATTATATTATATTTTAATACATATTTTATAGTTATATATTTATTTATTATATATTTATAATATATAAAATATATTTCATATTCTAGTTATATTATTTATTAATTTATTATTATTATTATATTATAATACATATTTTATTCTATATATTATTATTATTATATTATATTATAAAATATATTTCATATTCTAGTTATATATTTTATTATATTAATTTTATTATTATATTTATTATAATACATATATTTTATAGTTCTATATTTTATTATTATATATTATATATAAAATATATTTCATATTCTAGTTATATATTTTATTATATATTATATCAAAAACATTACAACTGAAAATAGACAAATATACAATAATTATATAATTTATTATTATTATATTATAATATAATACATATTTTATAGTTATATATTTATTATGTATTATATTGTATAAAATATATTTCATATTCTAGTTATATCTTTTATTATATATTATGTAAAATATAAAATATTTTATAATAAAAATAATTATATAATTATGAGTCCCCCCTCGGGGGTTGAGAAGGGCAGGGTAGAAGTACACAAAATAAATAAATAAATTATTACTATATTTTATTATAATACATATATTTTATAGTAATATATTTTATTATTATGTATTATATTATATAAAATATACTTCATATTCAAGTTATATATTTTATTATATATTATGTAAAATAAATATTTTATAATATATAAATAATTATATAATTTATTATTATTATATTATATTATAATACATATATTTTATAGTTATATATATTATTTATATCCCGCTTTATCTCGCCCTATGAAGACTCAAAGCAGCTCACAATCAAAAACGTTACAACCGGAAGTAGGCAAATATACAATAATAAAATAATGGCATAGTTTATTATTATTATATATTATAATACATATTTTAGTTATATATTTTATTATTATGTATTATATTATATGAAATATATTTCATATTCTAGTTATATATTTTATTATATTTTATATCAAAAACATTGCAAACTAAAATAGACAAATATACAATAATAAAATAATTATATAATTTATTATTATATTATAATACATATATTTTATAGTTATATGTTTTATTATTATATATTATATTGCACTACAGACTCCCTGACTGAGCTAGCGGGGGTGGTCTCGGACCTGGCGTTGGAGTCCCAACGGCTGCTTGTGCTGGGGGACTTCAATGTCCACGCCGAGACCGCCTTATCGGGAGCGGCTCAGGACTTCATGTCTACCATGGCAACCATGGGGCTGTCCCAACAGGTATCTGGCCCCACCCACAGTGCTGGACATACATTGGACTTGGTTTTCTGCCAGGGATGGGAGGAAGGTGGCGGTGTTGAGGAGTTATCCATCTCTCCGTTGCCATGGACCGACCACCACCTGGTCAGCTTTAGACTCACTGCACCCCCTAACCTCCGCAGAGGTGGAGGACCCATTAAGTTGGTCCGCCCCAGGAGGCTTATGGATCCGGATGGATTCCTGACGGCTCTTGGGGAATTTCCCGCCACCTCGGTTGGTGATCCTGTTGATGCCCTGGTCGCTCTCTGGAATGGGGAGATGGCTAGGGCAATAGACACGATCGCTCCAGAACGTCCCCTCTCAAGTAGCCGAGCTAAACCAGCTCCTTGGTTCACTGAGGAGCTGGCAGCGTTGAAGCGAAAGAAGAGGGAACTAGAGAGCGTGTGGCGTTCGGATCCGAGCGAGCCAAATCGAACACGGTTTGTGTCCTTTTTAAGGGCATATGCCGCGGCAATAAAAGCCGCAAAGAAAACCTTCTTTGCGGCCACTATTGCGTCTGCAAAGAACCGTCCGGCCGAACTGTTCCGAGTTGTCAGAGGCCTATTAAAACCCGCCACTCAGGATGGGTGCCCTGATGACTCGGCAGCTCGCGAAGCCTTTGCTCGGTTCTTCACAGACAAAGTCGCTTTGATCCGCTCTGGACTGGATACCATATTAACGGCAGTATCTGAGGATGTAACACGAGCATCTGCTTGTCCGGTTTTGATGGATTCATTTCAATTGGTTCAATCCGAGGATGTGGACAAGGTGCTTGGAGGAATGAGAGCTACCACATGCATCCTAGACCCCTGCCCATCCTGGCTTCTAAAGGAGGCCAGAGGGGGATTGGCCGAGTGGGTGAAGGTGGTGGTTAATGCCTCCCTTCGGGAGGGCAAAATTCCAGCCAGCTTAAAGCAAGCTGTGATAAAACTGCTGTTGAAGAAACCATCACTGGACCCCACTCAATTCGTCAACTATCGGCCTGTTTCCAATCTCCCCTTTTTGGGCAAAGTCATGGAACGTGTGGTGGCCTCACAACTCCAGGCATTCTTGGTAGACACGGATTATCTGGATCCGGCACAGTCTGGCTTTAGGCCGGGGTGTGAAGGAGGTCCGTTATTAAACTGCTGCCACCAACTGTGACGATGACCGTTTTAATGCCACCGAATACCACCAATTGTGAAGGTGCACGTGGTAAAGCACCCACTGCCACCTTATCTATGAGGGAAGCCGGGCAACGATCAATATCAGCCTAGGAACTATTTTATAAAGGGACTGTTTCTGGCTGACTTTATTATTGCAGGCTGTTCAACTTAGAAGAAACTGTATCAGGCAAGGCTTGAGGAAAAAGTAACAAGTTTATTTTAACAGGAGTATAACAATGTATAACTGTTCTTCAAAAGAGGCATAAATCTTGATGGTTACATTGGAAAGGTTTCATGAGTAAACTCAGGCAAACACTTCATAAGGTTTCACAGCTGGCACAACAGGCTTAAACCCAGCCAAACCTTGATTCTTAATTTAGAATCAACAACCCCCTGTACCGGGTCCTTCTCTGCAACCACTTTGGTCACCAATTGATTCCCTGAATCTCTAAGAGATTCAGTTTTTCCCTATAGCACACTGGCTACAGACACATTCCCTGAATCTCCACCAAAAGATTCAGTGTTTTCTCAGTAGCTCTCCGGCCACTGACTGGATTTTTAAAACACAGCTGCCTCTGAAGAGGCGGTTGGCTCCGCCCCTGTTGCTATGGCAACTTAGCTAACATCAAGCCACTCCCACAAAACATAACCTCCCATACTTACCATCCCTAAACCATTGTCCAAACTACACATAACCAAAGGAATAAAATTTACACATAGGCCCGGGCATGGTACCGAGACAGCCTTGGTCGCCTTAGTGGATGATCTGCGTCGGGAGCTCGACAGGGGGAGTGTGTCCCTGTTGGTGCTGCTCGACCTCTCAGCGGCCTTCGATACCGTCGACCACGGTATCCTTCTGGGACGCCTCGCGGGAATGGGTCTTGGAGGTACTGTTTTGCAGTGGCTCCGCTCATTCCTCGAGGGTCGGTCTCAGAAGGTGTTACTGGGAGACTCCTGTTCAACCCCACATCCTTTGTCTTGTGGGGTTCCTCAGGGTTCAATACTGTCTCCCATGTTGTTTAACATCTACATGAAGCCGCTGGGCGAGATCATCCGGAGTTTCGGAGTGCGATGTCATCTGTACGCAGATGATGTCCAACTCTGTCACTCCTTTCCACCTGCTACTAAGGAGGCTGTCGAGGTCCTGAACCGGTGCTTGGCCGCTGTGACGGTCTGGATGGGGGCGAACAAATTGAAATTGAATCTAGACAAGACAGAGGTACTCCTGGTTAGTCGCAAGGCCGAACAGGGTATAGGGTTACAGCCTGTGTTAGACGGGGTCGCACTCCCCCTGAAGACGCAGGTTCGCAGTTTGGGTGTGATCCTGGACTCATCGCTGAGCCTGGAACCCCAGGTTTCGGCGGTGACCAGGGGAGCATTCGCACAGTTAAAACTTGTGCGCCAACTGCGACCGTACCTTGGGAAGTCTGACTTAGCCACGGTAGTCCACGCTCTGGTTACATCCCGCCTTGACTACTGCAACGCTCTCTACGTGGGGTTGCCTTTGAAGACAGCCCGGAAGCTCCAATTAGTCCAACGGGCGGCAGCCATGATACTAACAGGAGCGGGGCGCAG